CGCTGCGCTGCTTTAGTCCTGGTCCGGATGGAAAAATTGCACCATTTCATAAAACGAAATCACCACGATGGACCTCCTTGAAAATGTTCAATTTTCATTTCTTCCACTAGCGTTACTGCTTTTAGTCGAACAGCGACCGTCGAAACGCTGGCCCCACTCGTTCTTTGCTCGATGATCCACCGCTCGAGTCTTCCCTCCAACTCGGGCCACCTCGCCTTATGTCCGCGCAAACTCAGCTTTGTCTTCTTCACCTGTCGGAGTTAGTTTTCCATCTTCCTCCACTTGCGAACCATCGATTCATTAATCTTGAATTCTCCCGCGGCTGCTCGATTTCCATGTTCCTCTGCGTAGCCGATAGCCTTCAGTTTAAACTGTGCTTCATAGGCGTGTCTCTTTCCCATTTTCAGGGTTGTTATGACAACAATGTTCTGCATAAAGCACATACCTGTTCTTTTATACACAATCCACGCCCACACTTCCCCCTTTAACGTTCTCATGGCGGCATCAACAACGTCCGCAGTAACAACACACATAGGGCGCGCTGCAGATTTTCAGGGGGAAAAAAAGGACGTTTATATGCTTCTTATAGTCGGTAGGAAAATGAAAAATCTACTGGAACAATGGAAGTTTCGCTTCCCATCCAGGAAGCTCTTTAAATTCAAAATGTCAGATATAGCGCTGAGTTCCAGGCTTTATAGATCAGCCCAACAAAGCCTTGTTTTTCCTAAGAAAACATTTCTGACATTTTGAATTTAAAAAGCTGCCTGGATGGGAAGTGAAACATCTTCAAATTTGGAAAAAAAAGTCAGTTGGATTGTTTTTTTTAACCTTTTTTTAAATTCATGATCCGCCGTTCATTGTATTCCCCCCTCCCCTCCTGACAGAGCATGTATTCCCGCGTGCCAGAGTGCCAGATCACCACCTATTACTACGTGGGGTTTGCCTACCTGATGATGCGCCGCTACCAGGACGCCATTCGAGTGTTTGCCAACATCCTTCTCTACATCCAGAGGACGCGGAACATGTTCCAGAGGTCGACGTATAAATATGAGATGGTCAGTAGGATCTCTGGGGTGACTGGGGTCTAATTGTAACGGCTGAGAACGATCTAACTGAAATGTGTGAAATGTTTTAGATCAATAAGCAGAACGAGCAGATGCACGGCCTCCTGGCCATCGCTCTCACCATGTACCCGATGCGCATCGATGAGAGCATCCACACCCAGCTGAGGGAGAAGTACGGAGACAAGATGCTGCGTATGCAGAAAGGGTAAGAAATTTGTTTAGATCTAGAACTGCACCCAGTGGATAAATAATGACAGGATTATCTGATATTTATATATCTTTATCCTCTCTTAATGCCGGCTGTCTTCCAAATGTTGTAATAGAGAGATGATGTTTGTTTTATATGGAAAGAGGAAACATGGAAACTGGATTTGGTTTTATATTTGTCTTCAGGTTAGGGAAATATTATATTATTATATTATTTAATTTCTTTGAGAATGAAGTCGTAACATTACGAGAATTAAGTCATAATAAAACAACCCGTTTCGGCTAGAAA